CACAGTTACTTTCTGCTCCTCGTTTAATTGCCCATTTGCAATCTCCAAGAAACATTTTCCAAAGCCTAATGGAAAATTAAAGGATCGGTAGAACAGCACCATTGTCATTGCCTTTGAGAATGCAGATTTCATTTCCTGCCTCCATCTGCCAGCCCCTCCTTCCATGCATCAAGTGAGAAAAACCTAGAGCATTTCAGACACTAAATCACTTTGTTTGACTCACAGTGGGGCAGTTCAACTACACCTAGTTCCAGCTATTGAAATGAGGGCAACCTTCTCCAGCCCATGGGAACTGACCCCTTTATTGTCGCCGATGCCTGGGGAAGTTATGATGACATATGAGTATTATTGTCTGTTATTTCTTTCCAGTATTATTTTGCTGAGACTGGAATTCCAAATTACAGGGAGTGGGGGGTGGAGGAGGGGTGATGGCTCAGGGGATTGGTGATGGGAGATGAAGAGTCTCACCTCAGTAGAGAGGCCAAAGATTGGATGGAGAACGAACCACTGTTTCACCTCCAGAGCCACCTCAGCCTGTTACGAGAGTGCTCTGTCTACACATATGTCATTAGTTAATTAATTGGAAGTGTGCTAGTAGAGGGTGCTAAAGAATATGAAGCATTCTTGATGGGTTTTGTTGGACCAATAAAGTTGGTGATTGTGCATTGCAAATGGCTTCCTTTATGCAGCTCTTTACAACAGCTCTGTGAGGGAGCAGAGAAACTGGCGCCTGGCACAGCAGGGGTTGAAGAAAACCGATGGGTTCAGCTAGCCCCGCCCCACTATACCTGCAGCCAATGCCAGGACTGCAGGGGGGAGAAAAGAAGGGAGCCTGGCTCAGTTGGGGGCTGACTGGCAAGGAGGCAGGAGCTCTCTGTGTGCCTGAAGGGACGGATCAGCGACCTGACAGCCAGTGCAGCCACTTGGATATTAGGATATTGGATATTAGGAAAAACTTTTTCACTAAGAGGGTGGTGAAACACTGGAATGCGTTACCTAGGGAGGTGGTAGAATCTCCTTCCTTAGAGGTTTTTAAGGTCAGGCTTGACAAAGCCCTGGCTGGGATGATTTAACTGGGAATTGGTCCTGCTTCGAGCAGGGGGTTGGACTAGACGACCTTCTGGGGTCCCTTCCAACCCTGATATTCTATGATTCTATGGTTCTATGACTTGAGGCAAGTAAGTCTTTCCCTGCCAAGGGGAGTCTGCAGATAAGCCCCAACTGTGGGGCAACTGGACTAGTGAGACCATGCCCCAAACTAATGAGACATGTAGGAAGTAGCCCAGGGAAACTGGTCTTGACCCCCGCCCCAGCCCCTGCCAGAAGGAGACCCATCCCCTCTATTTAGGGGTTGAACTACACAGGGCCCTGGGCTGGGACCCAGTGGAGAGGGAGGGCCCGGGTCTCCCTACCAGCCCCTTTGGCCTGACCGACCAACGATCTAGCCACTAGGCTGCCCAGCCACGAAAGGCCCTATCACAAGCTCTTAAACAAGGTCTGGATGGCAGCATGTCCCATACATCTGCTTGATTGCTGGTGCACCACCCTGGTGCCCCATCTGACTCTGAAGCCACAAAACCAAGGCAGATTATGAACCACCTAACTGCACTCTCCCTGCTCCGTTTGGAAAGAATTCCGATTTACAATTGCTTAACGTGCATCATCTGCCTTTGCACTAGACCTGGGGATTGTCAGCTCCCTAATCTTTCTTGGACATCCGTGCAAACTACCTCTATTAAACCATGGAAGAAAGAACTCCTGTCCAAAGCAACACTAGACTCTCTAGGGTGCAAAACAGATTAGGCATCCCCGGGTGGGTCTGGTTTTGCAAAATGATTCCCTGCTCCTGTTGCAAAGCTGGCACACAATAAAGTGACTCCTGAATTCCTTTCAATGAATGAGTTCAGGGTCTTGTCCCACACAAGGTTATGTCACCTTCCTGGCTGCCGGCAGAGGCACATTCCTGCATCCTCCAACCCCCTTCAGACAATCCCTGCCTATGCTGAAAATATTTATTTTGGCCTGTTCCTTGGAAGCCTCCCATTCTGGGGAGCCATGAGAGGGTGGACTCTTCAACTGTTGCACCCGTCTCCACCCTAGTGCATTACTCAGACGAAGTCACGCCAGCCAAAACCCCACCTTACTGCATGTAGCAGCAATGGCTATTTTCTCCTTTGCAAACTAGAGCGAAACCAGCTCAGAGGTGGATCAGTAAAACCCAACTCCCCTTAAAGCGAGGGTCAGCTTCTCCACTATACCAGCATAAACCTGGACTCACTCCATTGCTGGCAATAAAGTGATTCTGGGTGAGAGCTGGGTGGGAAATGGTTTTCCCGCCCCATGAGATTTCAAAACTTTCCCCGTTCTGCATTGGGACAAAAACCAAGAGCTTTCAAAAAAATGTCACAAAAAGCCGGGAAAAGAGAGACCCATCCCAGAATAGCCTGGTGGTTACAGCACTCACGTGGGATGTGGGAGACACACGTTCCAGTCCCTGTGTCTCCCACATCTCAGGATGGCCTAAAGCCTCAGGCTAGAGGGTCAGTCTCTTTCTCTCTAGCCCAATGGATATGTAAATTATTTATACAAAATGGAACAGCTCCAACAGGGAAGACTGAGAGATGCCCACCCACAATAGCCCATCGCTTGGTGATTGGGGCACTCACCAGGATTGTAATACCTGAGTACCCTTCACTTATGAATCACAATGAACTCAATGCACACTAATAAATGGGACCTCACAACAATCTCTCTGAGTCTTGCCTTCCAGAAGCAACATAGCCCACTGGGGAGGGCATAGAGAGACCCAGGTCATGTCTTTCCTCTGAAGCAGGGACTTGCTCCTGGATCTCCCATATCCCAGGTAAGTGAGCTAACCGCCAGCTTATTGGCTTTTTCTAAAAGAGCTGCTCTAGGAATTATTTCAGGGAAATTCCACAGCCTGTGTTATGCAGGACATCAGACTACATGGTCACAGTGGTCTCTTCTAGCCTTGGAATCTAGCTATTCTGGGGTTTTTCTGTCTCGTCGTCTCTTTCTGGTTTTGACTGTAAATTCTACCCCTGGATCTGAGAACCCTGCCAAGTGAAATTTTTGTCATAACTGCCCCTTTCCCGTGAAAAGTTATGGTTTTGACACATCAGCATTTTCTGACCCAAAAAAAAAAATTGTCGAAAAATTCCCAACCAATTTCACTCTGGATTTATATCTGTGTAACCTAGATCAGAACCTGACCTGTAAACTCAAAACAAAACCGGCCCAACAAAAGAACCAAAGAGGAGCCATTCCCCAGCCGGCCACCCAGCCCAACACCAGAGAGCACTCTCGCCTCATCTGTCCAAACAGAGCCTGTGAGCTGTCTCACCTGCCATCACTGCTGCTAGCAGAGATCTCAGAACAACCCACCTGCCCAGATAATGCTGCAAGAAACAGCTGCCGAGAGGGGAATCTCAATGGCGGTTTTGAGGAGAAGCCTAGAGGTACCAGTGAGGAAGGATGATGGACGTGGGAGTGGGGAAGAGCATGGAACCGATGGGTTTTTTGGCAGGAAAAGAACTGGAATGATTCAGTTTTAGGGGGAAGGAGGGAAAACAAGGCTATTTGACCCAGGCAACGCTGTACTCATCACTGACTTAAGCCAAAAAAATTTGAGGGAGCCCCTGGTTACAATGTTGGTGGCATATCACGGCTCAGGGTCCTTTCAGAGCTCTACTCTGCTTCCCAGTTGTTCTATTTCTAGGGTACTAACACCGAGGGGTCTACGTGTGCGGTGCCTGAAATGAGTTTGGCTGACAGAAGTCCACAAATGGACAGGCATTTATACTACTACAGCTACAATGTCCCCCTCCCCAGTTAGACTGAACAGGCCTGTATCTATTGTGTCCTGGTTGCCCAGCTCAGAGTAGAGACCCTCTGGTGGGGCAACATGCATTGCTGCTATTCCTACTATCTCTCTCCTGTAGCTAGACGCCTTCACCCTACAGGATGTTGACTGCAATGGCCGACATCAATGGGCATTGAGGGCGATCTGCACTTCCCAAAATTGGGCCAAAACAGTCTCAAGGGCTGTCTAGGTTGGTACTTCTATTCATCACTGTAGTATCTGAACACCTCGCACTCATTAGTGTGTTTTATCTTCACCACATCCCTGTTAGGTAATGAGCCATTCTCTCATTTTTAAAGATGGAAAAGTGAGGCCTGGCGTAGATTCAGTGATTTGTGTAAGGTCACCCAGGGAGTGTGTGGCTGAGCCAGGAACTGAACTAAACTGAGGTCTCCAATATCTCAGCCCCGTTCCCTGGCCACTAGACCATCCTCTCTCTTAATGCAGGGGATTCCACCACTGCTAAATTATTTTAAAATTCATGATTTAAGGGAAAGTTTAGAATTTAAGACAAACTATTTACACTCTTATGTAAACACATTAAACATTTTGATACAAGTCATAGAATATTGATCTGCACTGTTTTCATTCTCTGGAACAGGGGAATTGCTAAGAAATGGGAATACTGAGGACAGCAATTAAGCTGCTAAGGACATGAGACCACAGAAAGGAGGAGAAAAAGACTGATCTAAATCCTGTTCCAAGCCAACACCTTGGGTTGTGATGTTTACATCTTTGGTCATTTTAGCGCTCCCAGAACATGCACAGCCCAAGCAGCATTAATTTAATTCATCCATACATAAAGTGTTTGAAATTCTGTTCATACACATCTGGGACCCAACAGCTCCGAGAGAAAACCCTCTGCCTCTTCCAGCTCAGTTCTAGCCATGAGCTGACCATCTGGAGAACCCTTCCATTCACAAATGCTTAAATATATATACACACACACACACGCACGCACAGGCGTACACACCAGAAATGTCAGATGCTTTTCAGAGAAGCTGTCTCAGAACTCATAGTAGCACATCAGCAAATCTCAGGTGGTTGAGTTCACGAGAGCAGCAAACTAAAGAGCGAGGACACGAGAGTGTGGGGAGAGCCCCTAGTTAGTGCTCACCATTTGGGTTAGTCACTGCACATCGTTCCAGGCAGAACCTTCCGTTTCCCTTCGGTAGGTCCCATTTGACAGCCTTCGAAGCAGCAGGTTTTAGAAAGCCTTAGTCAGCTCCCACCACATCTGGAAAGTCCAACTCAGCCTTGAACTCCCACTCTAATTCCTTGTGTTTACACTTTGAATCAGTTGGTTACTTATGGAAACTTTAAACTCCATAGCCAGGTCCTTCTGCTCTGGGTCTGGTGGAGACAATTTCAATGATGCACATCTAAAATATGTCTCTGCACCGCACCCCAAAACCTTCCAGTACCAGGCAATGAATCAGTCCCTCTCTTGAATTTGCCTCGATCAGTTAGACCAGTCTGGTCACCAAGACCACATCTAACCTTTAAGTAACGTCTTTTCCCCAGATCTGACAGAGCAGCAATGATCCAGCAGCCTATGTTTAGTGCAGCATCCACACGCTTCCGCCCACCATCCGTATTTCAGAGCCCCTGATTTAGTTGAGGGTGGCTCAGCCGGGCTGCAGCCTCACACTTACACATGCCTTTGGCTCTCCCTTTCGCCCCTTTGTTTAGAAAATGCTTTATGCCGGAGGGTTGTGGTCCGACTGTAGGCACCTCTAGCTGTAGCCAATCAGGGTGCAGCGCCTTGTTTTAATGCAACAATGCTTCATTGAAACTCAGTCTCCCAGCCTTGTGCGTCTTGCACGTTATTCTCAGCACTAGACGCCCTTGGAGAAATAGTTACATCAGGGGGAGAGAAGATACTCTCTTGAACAGCAAGCGAGCAGCACACTGCTGATAAGTGAATCGCTGTGTGTGCCCATTGTCTTCTAAATACAAGCCCTTAACCCTGACATCGCCATCAGATCCACCGTGGATTTGCTTCTTCAGTACAGACAGCTGTAAGATTTCACAACTGAGGAGCACTCTCTGTGTCCTGAATGCCACTGTTCAGACAACATAATGGGTTGTGTGAATTTGCACTATACATCACAGCATGGGACAACACAAAGCTGAAATTCCTCTGCCCATAATAATTATTTCAGGGATAAAGAGGTTCACTTTCTTTTCAGGGGACTAGGAGTTAGAATGACCATCCTGGAAAATGACAGCCACCATTTATCTGCTGGTCGGGTACCCCTCAAGCAACAACAATGTTGGATTGCCCACACTGTCCTCCGCTTCATCGGAGGAAAGGAGAGTTGTGTTGCCAGGCCTATTCCATCCTTGGCCAACAAAGGAGCTGATTGGTTCAACTGTACTAGTGGTTTCAGTAATGCTTGTCCATTAGGAAATGAAATGAAGCTCTCAGACTCATTTCACATCAACCCAGAAATCCGTCATTGGATGGATCACTATCATCCTGCGTTGGATTCTAACCAATGTCCTAGAAAAGTGCTACAACCTGGCAGCTGTAAGGAATGATGCTTATCCCCTCTATAGAGTTTTTCTCCCCTGGATCTTAAAGCGCTCTACAGATGTGGGCAAACACTATGTCACCCCGCACTATGCAGATGGGGAAGCTGTGGGATTGAGAGGTGAAGTGACTTGCTCAGTTCACACAAAAAGGATGTGGCAGAATTGGGAACTGGTGTATATAGCTTGGTATTCTATGTACCTGAGCACATTGCCTTCCTAGAGATCACATGCAGAAGGGCTCAGACAGTGGCAGACAGCCCTTGGAAAGTCATGTTGACGATGGGTACATGAGCCCTGTGGACTAGAGCAGAGGGGGGGGCTAGTAATAAGGCTACACAGAGCTGACAAGGCCTTGCTCCCATGAGGGGAACCTCATGCACTTTTCCAACCTCTCTGGCCCTGTGGCTGGTTCTTGCTATCAGGGGGTGACCTGGTTCATTGCTACACTGACCTACTGTGCAATGCTATTTAAGAAATACATGAGTTCAAGAAGGCTGGTTAAGGCATGGGACAGGGACTCAGGAGAGCTGGGTTCAAGCTCTGGTTCTGCCACCGGCTTCCTGTCTGACCTTGGGTAGCTCACTTCATCTCTTTGTGCCTCAATTCTCCATTTTTTTTCTGGCTTATGTATTTAGACTGGAAACTCTACAGAGCAGGTGGAGGGTGAAGAACCCTGGTGGGACAGTCTGTACAGCGCCTAGCACAATGGGGCCCAGATTTCAGTGGGGGCCTCTAGGCGCTACTATAATAGAAATAGTAATAACTGGAAAACAAACAATTCCGCGGTTGAAGGCCGTGGATGCTATGGCAATGAGTGGAATCACGTAGATTAGCCAGACAAACGAGTCACAAACCTCCCGTACAAATTAGTGCCCCAGCACTACGGCAAATTGACCACACATCCTCCACACCCTCAAAACTTGGGGAGCTCACTTCAGCAATCTGTAAGCACTTCGGGGTGGGGGGGGGGGGAAAGAACAGTTGCAGCAGAAAGGAAATTGGAACTTTAACATGTGCAGGGGACTCGGTTAACTAGCGCTGTCTGCAGTAAGCTGAGGAAATAGCTGGGCAAAACAACAAGCAATAGCATTGTCCTGGACAGGAAAGAGATGACAATAAAAGTGTGTCTGAGAGGGGTCTGTTTAAATTCAAATTTGATCAGGCATCAGTGTTTTGAAATGTAAACTCTTCTGGTAGCCCACAGATGGGAAGCTTTGGAAAAACACCTAAGCCCAATTGAAGTCAATGGAAAGACTCTTTGGACTTCAGTGGGCATTGGATCAGGTCTTTATTGTCTCTGGTTGTTTAGAAGATGCTTTTCCCTCCCTTTATCTGAAGTAGACACTTGTAAAACTCGGAACTCAGCAAAAGTTGACATGGATTTTAAGACTAACACAGTCAAAAGTTTTTTTTTTAAATCTACCCTCAGGCCTTAAGTAAAAGTTCCTCAGTTCTAACTAGCAATAACCAGCCACAGGGCTCAGTTCTAACTGTCTCAAGCAACAGATTAAAACCTGACCGTACAAGTTTAATCATATATATTAGTACCTAGATACTATGTCAATGAGCGCAGTGAAAATGCATATAACTTCATCTAATTTCTCATATATATTATATATAAGATACATATAACAAATTAGGTTTTTAGACTTGGGGTTCTGGCAGCAAGGACTTCCCCAAGGACCTTAATTGTTGTGTCAGGATCCACAGCAGAATTCGGAGACAACTGAAAAAAGCATCTGTGAACATTTGTTCAAATGAAAACCATGGGCCAGATCTGCAGCTGGTACAAACTGGCAGAGATCCATTGGCATTAATGGAGCTATGCTGCTCACATCATCAGAGGAACTGGCCCCAAGACCTCAGTTTGGAAGGATGTGCTATCCCCCTTTTATGAGTTTTCCATGGCAAGTAATATTTTTGGTTCAGGATTCGCACTGGAAGCACTCAGCAGCCCACGTGGAAATCTCCCCTTTTTCCTTCTCCCATTTGTAAAAGTTTCAGTCTTCAAATCTTGGAGAAAAAAATACCAGCTGATACCAGTGGTCAATTACACACTGCGAAGAGCCAGCAGTCAAAGGGAATAGATCACCGTGTACGGCGAGATGCATGCTGGGCTGAAAAATTCCAAAGGAGCAAGAAAGTAAGGAAAATCACAGCCTGCCCGAGGGTAATTTATGAACAGAAAAAAAAGAGCTAAATTCATTGAGGGCCAGATTTACATGTGTAAGAACAAGGAGAGACGCTGAGTGCTAGTTGCTGAAAATCAGATGCATTCTCTTAATGGGTAACTGAGAGTCAAAGGCTTTTGAAAATCTGCCCACTTATATATGTACCTACATGGGAGCTCTTGGGAGCAGAGTTATTTTGAACATCTGGCCTTGAATATATTATTCAGTAGTCCACCTCTCCTCAAATTAAGAATAGACACACAGACTGGTTGGTTATCTATTCCCTCAGTTTTCCATCTTTTTGAAAACCACCTAAGAAAGCATTTTCTAAAAGTAAATTTGGTGGCTTGCAGAATTATAAAGCACAGTTGCCATGCCCCTTTCCCTAAAATGCCCCTTTCCCTCCATGACTCACCCCAGCCCTATTAAATTGGATTTACTGAAGTAGCTTTGCACAAGGGAAGTTTTTTAACCGTGCTCCTCTTTTCAGGGGAGGACAGTGCCCCATCTAGTGGTAATTTGGGGTTAAATGAGAATAAAGCCTTCGCTCTGGCACTCTGGAACAGCACACATCTACCTAGGAATCTCAGGGAGGGCTCCTTTGCTTCCCTTTGTTTGGGCAGTGGTGTCATTTTACTTCCTCGCTGCTCTAGGCTCTGGGGTGGTTTTGACCACAGTGAGTGAAGAGCCCATTTCTGCATCCCGGAATGGACACTGGAGAGTCGAATCACACCCCTGCTATCCGTCTCTGGTCGGAGCAGAACCTGCATCTCCCTATTTTGTTCAGCTAGCAGGAGAATTTGTGAGTTTGCCAGAAGAGTTAAGACTCTTTGCATATCTCACCCCAGTGCCTGCTGTTATAAAGTCTGTGGTCTTCTCTGACCAGTCCCCATGTCCTCTTCACTTGTATTCCTGGCATGCCAGCTGGGTGGTTTCTTTGCACCCTAGAGGCCATTGCATTCACTTGGCAATAGAGGGGTGTCAGTGGCATGCAGAAGCTTGCAGGGAGGGCTGTCCATGTGGGGCAGGTCAGACAGGGCCCTGCATTGGAATGGAAGGAGCAACTGTAGTTTGCATAGTGCCCCAGTGCACAGCCTGAGCCAGTGACCAACCCCTTCATCTCCTCCCACGTGCCTTCTTCCGTACTGCTCCCCGGGACTGACTCACTCTGCTGTGGCCCCTTGCTAGGCCCTGCTACTCCCTCCCTAACCACCACCCCAGCATTTCAGTTACTCGTCCTCACCGGTGGGTGCCAATTTCGACTCCACTTAGACCACAGCAGCAACTCTGGGAAAGGTTTGTGTTTTCCCCCCACCAAGCTCCCAGCTCCACAAAGCACTTAAGTGTGCACTTAATTTTAAACGCATGCTTAAGGCCATCTCTATTCAGCACAGCTCATAAGTATGCGCTTAAGCCCTGAATAGTGAGGGACTCAAACAGGCACTTAAATAAGCACAAACTTGATTACAGTGCAGGTGATTAACCATTGAGCAGACTACCAAGGGAAGTGGTGGCTTCTCCATCTCTTGATGCCTTCAGATCGAGACTGGATGCCTTGCTGGGAGATATAATTTGGTGAAACACAAGTTATTGGGCTCGACATAGGAGTAACTGGATCCAACTCTCTGGCCTGTGTTATGCAGGAGGACAGACTAGAGGTTCTAACGGTCCCTGCTGTCCCGCAAATCTATGAATTTGTTTATGTAAGTGCTGGGCTGAATCAAGGCCCATGTCAGCTGAGCTTCAGACTATAACCTTCAAGCATCACAATCACAGTACTTCACTTCACCAGAGTACTGCCTTCTTCATCTTCAAAAGTGCTTGACAAACGTCTAATAACAGCTACCACACCTGTGAGGCAGACACCTCTCACTATATTCCTTTTGCCAGCTGCTCGGTTCAAGACTGAGCATTGTAAGATAGGACCTGAGATCTCCACAGGCAGCCCTTCCCCATTAAA